CAATCTAACGTTTAATCTCTGCATGTTAGTCACACATATTCAATACAGGCTATAAAATGAAGATCTGAGGTTGGGTGGTCATGCTATAGTGGTTGCAATAGAGTTAAATGCAAATGGCATTCAGATGCATAATGTTTGATGCAAGTACTATGCAGAGAGACCTTTAAATCATTAAGTGGAAGGAATATTGTGGATGAGAAATGCTTTAATAAAAACATGTCACTTGCAGAGCTTGATATATGTGAAGCACTGATGTTGACTTTGAGTTACACATTAGAGAAAAGAACTTAGGTTGGCAACTGGTTGATATTTAATGTGAAATTATATCAAAATAAAACCAGATAGCTTTCCTCACCATCCAGCACATGAAAGAAATCAATGTCAAAGTTTTGATCAGTGTGTGTTTAGCTACAAATGCTGAAGGAACTAGCTTCAGATCTCCGATTAGGGACCTTTTGTGATCTTGAGCAAGTCATTCCCTTATCTGAGCTCAGCTTTCTCATCTGTAAGACAGAATGATAACCCACAGTGTGTATGTGTATCACACACACATATACACTGCTAGACATAAAACCTGCACTTAATACCTGGTGGCAATGGTGGAGAATTTGCAGTCTGTTCTGAGAAGTTACTGAGCTTGCTAAATGGGGAGTGAGAATTTGTGAGTCCACACTGGCATTCAGTGCTTGTGAAGAGCAAGGTAGGTCTGTGTATGCAGAAACCAAATCAGAGTTTGATCCATCCTGTAGATGATATTGAGGCTTCAAATGGACTTTTGTATAGATTGAATGCATAAACAAGCAAATGGAATTAACTGTGTGTAGACATTTATGTTTTCACATAGTAATATGTCTACTGCTCCAATGGAAGTTGAGCTTTAAATTATTATTATCATTTTTTTGCTATAGTCAGTATCATTAGTTAGTGAAAGTTGTAGATTGATCCATATGAAGCTGTGAATAAGTAACCAGATACTTCTATGAGTGACTCAAAATCCAGAAAGAAAATTTTAAAGAACTCTATAAAAATGCAAATGTAGTTTTACTTTTACTTTCTATTCATAAATATACTGTGGTACAAAATGTGATTTTAAAATGGTGTATTCATTTCCTGGAGCTGATGTAATAAATTACTACAAATTTAGTGGTTTAAAACAGCACAAATTGATTACCTTTCAGTTCTGGAAGTTAGATGTCTAAACTCAGTCTTGTTGGACTAGTTAAGGTGTGGGCAGGGCTGGCCCCTTTGGGGGTTCTGAAGAGGCTCCCCTTCCTCTCTGTTTCTAGACTCTGCAGCATTCCTTGGCTTGTGGCCCCACCCTCATATCTTTCCAACCTTTTGCTTGTACCTCTTCCTGCTGACTCTGACCCTCTTGCCCGACTCACGGCACTTCTGTAATGACACTGGGCCTACCTGGACACCAGCCTGATCTGCCCATCTCAGGATCCTAACTTAATCACATCTACATCTTCCCTTCTCCGCTCCCAGTGTGCTGGGGATTGCGATCTCTATGTCCCAGAGGGTGTATCATTCAGTTGACCATAATGATCACCTTCCTATTCTGTTTATTTTCAAAACTCAGATAATTCCCTATTAAAATTCTTCTACTTACATTTTTAGTGCAGAAGAGACTAGAAAAATTTCAAGTGGATGTGCATTTTTTAAGTATTCTGGGAAGAAGCAAATCTTAGCAGGTAGGCAGAGACTACCAAAAGAAACTTCTAGGAGGAGCTGAACCTCAGTTGTGTAACTGAACTCTTTAGCTCCACTATTTTTGGGATAAGTATTTAACACCTTCAAACGCAGGCTGTTTGTCCCACCACAGATGAGGCGCTATAGAGTACCATACTGTCTCTCAGTTCTGCACTTAAATATTTATAAACACTGATTAGATGATAGATAAGTGATGTGGTGGGGAGGAGAGGCATATCAGACAATTTCAATACAATATTTTTTATGAAGTGAAAATGGAAAATTTTGCAAAAGATTATAGTGAAATAGTAAATTAAAAGTTTAAGTGATACCACATCATTATTCAAGTTCTTCCCTTCCCCCCAAGTAACTGGAACAAAAATTTCACCATACTCAATCCTCATCCACTTAACTTTAAATTCTACCAGGAGTTTACATTACTATTTAATTTACTTTGCTATAAAGATAAACTTCCATCTTCTTGATATTGCAGATTTTAAAATGTTACCTCATGATACTTTCCACACCCTAACAGATCATATATATTTTGGATCATAAAATAGAAATAGGATATATATGACTTCAAATGAAGTATTATTCTGTAGCATGGATCTGGATCTTATTTTTCTTTTTAGTAGATTTGATGATGTTTTTATCCTTCATCTCTTATGAAAAAACACAGGATGAGCCGGCAAAGGCAATAAGCAGAGGGCAGGAGACCATCCTTGGGATGTTAGAAAAGTCTGAGGCAAATGCCCCAACCCTCCACATTTTACAGGGGAAGTAAAGATAGTCATAGCAAGCTCTAGCCTGTGGGTGCTGATGGCCCCACCACCTGGGGAGCAGACTACACCTCTTGTGATACCTCAGTTCATTTACACCACTGTAAAATTATTAACAATCTCCCTGGGACATACCGTGTAACAGAAAATGTTTGGGAAAAAAATACTGTGCTGTGGAATGAAATGTGGTCACCCCAAATTTATATGTTGAAGCCCTAATCTCTAGGAGCTCTGAATGTGACTATTATTGGAGAAAGGTCCATAACAAACATGAACAAAATTCAATGACATCATAAAAATGGGGCCTTAATTCAGTACGGACTGGTGTCCTTTGAAGAAGAGGAAGAGACATCTGGAAAAAGGCCATGAGAGTACAGAGCTAGAAGGTGTCCATCTCCAAGCCAAGGAGAAAGTCATATTTATCAAGTGACCAAGAGCAATGAATGCAAGTTTTCTGAGAGAACCAAATCATAAATGGAAGATGGTAGAGTGAGCATGGAATTGGCAAGGCTGGCATTGTTCTGCGGTGATGGGGTGATAAGGGCTTGTTGTGGTTTGATTGTGAAGTATCCCCCAAAAGCTCATGTGTAGGACAATGTAGGAAGGCTCAGGGGTAAAATGATTGGGTTATGAGAGCCTTAACCCAATCAGTGAGTTAACCCCCTGATAGGGATGAGCTGAGTGGTAACTGAAGGCTAGTAGGGTGTGGTTGGAGGAGGTGGGTCATTGGGGGTGTAACTTTGGGATATATATTTTGTATTTGATTAGTTTCTCTCTGATTATTGATCATCATATGAGTCACTTCCCTCCACCACATTCTTTTCTCATGATATTTGCTTCACCTAGGTTCCTGAGGAATGGACCTTGCTGTCTATGGACAGAGACCCCTGAAACCATGAGCCTCCAAATTAATTTTTCGTCTTCTAAAATTATTCTGAATAGGTCTTTTAGTCACAGCAGTGAAAAAGCTGACTAAAGCAGGACTCTGCTATATTTTCTAATTACTTACCAGTATTTAAAAAAAATAATGAACACACTAATGCATTTGGAGAAATTTTAGTGTATTGTGCATTGTTTGGTTTTAGTTAATTTTTTTTTACAATTTTAATCAAGTTGTTATAATACGATTCATTTTATATTTCCCTGTTATGTAACTTTGTAAAATTTCTTGCAGGATATATAGTTGGGGTCATTTATGGGGCTCCTTAAAGTTCTCCATTTTCCAAACTTATTGTCACACTTTTTATCGTTCTGTTCGTTTTGATTAATATTGTTTTGTAGTACCTTTTAATATCAGATTGGGTCATATGGATTTTCTGTGCTGAGTGTCTGTTTCATAATATTTTTAGTCACTGTTTGTTTTTACAAAGTAATTTAAAAGTTTATGGCTATTTTAAAAAATCTTATTAAACATTCATATTAAATTTGTAAACAGAATGTCTACATTATGTTTTTTAAACCAGGTGAAAATAAAATGAATAGCGAAACCTTGACCCTTGCATGAGACATAGAGATGACAGTACTTGGACAATAGTAGAACATGAGGGACAAGCTGTGTGGGAAGCTAAGAAGGTAGCAGGCAAATAGCAAGCAGGTGCAAATTAGGACATAGCTCTGCATTTGAAGTAAGCTGGATGGTTTGACCCTAGTGCAAATTTTTACTGCCCTCAATTTGAGTGAAAAGCATAAAATCAGAATAAAGGACAAGCAGTAGATGATTACTTAGTGTTAAACAATAACTTGATCTTATGTCATCAGTTTTGTTTATGTACCTTGAGTCAGTTTTAGGAAGCACACAATGTGGCCTAGAGTTAAAAACTCAGGCTTGAAATCCATACTGCCTGGATTTCATGCAGCTCCTCTACTTATTTGCTGGATTTCAGTTGACTCAAAATGGGATAATCATAGATAATGAGAATGCCTTCTTTATAGGGCTATTAGGAAAATCAATTGATATTTGTAAAGGACTTCAATGGCATCTGACCAACAAACGTTAGTTATATTGAGAAGATTTGTGTTCTTGAGACATTTTTTGGCTTGGCAGAAGTCAAAGTTTACATTTATTTTCTTTTCTGATTCTGAAAGTGTACCCCATACAGTTCTGCATGGCCATGACCCAGTAAGGCTGCACCTTCCTGCCTGGTCCACACCGTTATCAAGGAAATGCTTCTGAGCTTTTGTACCTGACTTATTTATTGTTGCTCTCTGGCAGCCATCCCCTGGCCTCCTGGCAAAAATAGCTGGATTTCATTAAAATTCGCTCTCTCTTGATACCATCTCTGCTGGATATTAGAAGGGATTGCTACCAGTGGAGCTTTAGCAACCTGATTAAGAATAGATTTGGGCTGGAATGTTCCAAGTGCTCTACAATTACCATTTAGAACGTTTCTCCCCATGGCTCCTCACTTTCCCGTGCACTGGGCTCCCAGTCCCTCCCCAGACTGTCTCAGCCAGGTGGGAGCCCAGCCAAGGCTCCTGTGGCATTCTCCAGCTGGACACTGAGATGCGTCTTTCTTCATATTTCAGGTGCAAGTTCTCTCCCATCGTCTGAAGTCCCCACTCTGGGGCCCTCTGTATGAGTGACACGTGGCCTGCCATGGAACCTGGCCCTGCTCTGGCCTGGCTCCTGCTCCTGAGCCTGCTGGCTGATTGTCTGAAAGCTGCTCAGTCCCGAGACTTCACAGTGAAAGACATTATCTACCTCCACCCTTCAAGTAAGACTGTTTGTTCTCTTTGCTGCAGAAATGTCACTATTTCAAATAAGAAGTGGCCAGGGGAAGGCAGCCTTTAATGCAAGGGAAACAATCCAGTGATTTAATTGAGAGGTGCATTTAGTTAACAAAAGATGCTTTATGTTTTACCCCCATCTTCTCACAGGATGTTTGGTTTTTAAGTCAAATCACTAGACTTGTTTTCTCTGTTCCCTGCGCAATCACTCAGATTCTAAATACCCTTCCCTTTTACTATACCGATCCTCAATCAGTTATCAAAGTGAACTGCTGTGTCCCAGGAGGCAGATTGTTTGTAAAAGATCAGTCCTCTCTAGGAAAGATAATAGCAGGTCTTCCTTTCTGGGCATCTAAATTTCAGTTTCAGCACCAGTGACTCCAACTTCCTATTTCCTCTGCCTTTTTGTTTTCCTGTGTTTAAGAATTCTCTGAAAAGTGCATAAAAGTGAAACTGCCCAGATCCCTGCCCTGATTTGCATATATCTGGTATTGTACTTGTGGATTCATGCTTTCAGCAAAAATTTCAGATCCTCCTGTTGCAGGTATCCTGAGGATCTTACGTTGGGAAGCACAACAGTTCTACTTTCTCCTTTGGTCTCCATCTCTGTATTTATTTTTTTTCCTTTGGTCCTCTTCTGAATTTCCCATGTGGTTGTGAGAACTGGCTATATTGTATGGGTTTTGTTGGTTTTTTTTTTTTTTTGGTTGTGGGGGCTTTACCTTTGGCCTCAAGGTACACTGTTCTTTTAAAATTTTCTGCTCAACAAATATTGTTCCCATATCCACTGTGTGGTGGAGCGTTGTGATGGGCATGAAAGGTACACAGGCAAACAAGACATCGCCCTTACTTTTGAAGACTGTGTAGACCCAAAGCAGAGGCAGCCACCTGGACTCCTTCTACCCCACAGGGCTAGAATGTTCCATGTCTGCATGTTTTGGGTTAGCTAAGAGGTGGTAGGTGGAATGCACAGGGGCCTGGAGCTACTGGACCTTGGATCTGTCAGCTGCTTTCTTAGCTCCTGACTTGGAACAAATCCCCTAACTTTGTGAAGATTAAATGGCATAATGCATATGAAGAACTTAGCACAGAATAAAAGCTGTAGTAGACGTTCAATCGATGTTGGAAAATGTGTAAGTGTTTATCTCTTCATTTCTAAAACAGTACGTACCCTGTATGGATCAGAAATAGTATCTGTACAACACTAGGCCCATACATAATAGGCAATTGAATGATGGTTGTTTATGTTGTTATCATTGCCTTAGACAACAAAGGAAGGGTGCTGAGAATTCACCACTCTTATTTTGTATAGCTGCAAATATACTTTAGCTAAGCAGCAAGAGATTTCTTCAGACTTTACTCTGTACCTCTCAGCAGGGCAGTCTGGTGCCTACTGCTTAATTGCATGAAAAACTTTTCTGGCTGCTTATTTTGGTGGGACTTTTACTTCATTTTAATAATATCCATGAAAAGAAGATATATTGATACTTGCTCTGTTTTCTAGAATGAGTTTTATTCTTTTCTTCAAACAGCTGTGCTTTTTAATTTAATTACACATTTTGAGGCAGAAACCCAGATGTCAGTCTCTTTTGGTTGACTACCAGGGTTTGCGGCTCCTATGAAGTTCTCTGTCAGCTCTAGTGACAAACTCAGTAGTAAGTGGGATGCAGAACTGGCCTCTGGCCTCTTCTGAGACTGTGATTGTAAATGAAGGATAAAAGGGAAAATCAAAGTGAATGGGTTTAAGCAAATAAGAACAAAGCAAACATACCATTCCCACTTTAACAGGTTGTGGGCCAATGCCCAGAACAACTGCACCCCTATTTGGAAAGTCGAGTTCAGAATGCTTTTTGAAGGATGAGCTCTGCCAGGGCACAGGGGGGGAAATCACTTCTGCTCTTTAGAAGTTAATGGAAAAGTTCTGCTCTATGACCTATGTTAATTAAAGCTATGACCTGATTAGAAGGAACTTACCACATATAATGAATTGATGGTGTTTTCTGATATGATTTTGAATCATGGAAGATAAAAGTGACTCCTACCTTAGATTATAAAGTAGATGGTTTACCAGCAAGTCTGGATGTGAGTTTTTTTTATAGAAGAGAGTCTCTATAAGGGGTCACTGGCAACAAAATCCTTATTGGATTGAAGTTACCATGAATGGCTTCCACTCAGTTGGAACTTTATTCTGCCCACTTCAAATCAGAGTTAACTTGACATTTCTCCTAACTATTTCAGGAGTTTGTGGTGTGCGTTTGTTTTCAGTTTTGATTTTTTAAACAGCTATGGTCCCCTGCCCTTGAGCCCTAGATCACTTTTATATGGAGTGATCTCTCTGCCAATAAGCAGGTTTCTGTTGTAATTTAGGGCATAAAAAATATATGAGGGAAGTGTGAGATTAGTGTGATTTTGCATAATTTATATAATCGCCTTGATTTGTGGGTGGAGGCACCAAGAGCTTTCTGTGGGTCACTGAGTGAGCCAGATTCCACTAATGTTAGGTAGAAAAGCTGGGCACCTGCCACAGGAGAAATGCAGTGATGCAGGAGGTGTGGGAAGACACAGAAACTCAGGGGCCTGGGTCAGCCATCCTGATGATACCTGCATGAGGCTGGAACCCAGGCAGAGAAAATTCAGCCTCCCATAGCTAATCTCCTTTGCTTTCTGTGTTCCTTAATCTTTGAAGTTTCTAAGCCTTTAAAAGAAAGAAATTTTATATAAGGCTCTCAATGTTGAGGCACTGTCCTCAATAACATTCTGTTCTATACTTTCTATGTCCTTTTCTTCCCTTTTTATATGAATAATGATGCTTTCTTCTCCATCTATGATTAAAACACCAACATCTAATAAAAAACTTTCAAAACAAGAGTTGATATTAAGAGCAATGGAGATATTTGGTTGTCACACCCCACATGATAGCAGAATGTAGTGTACTAAATGACTGCAACCTGTTCTTGGCTTCCATTTATTCTCATAGAATAGAGACCTTTTCTAAAAATATCCAGTTTTCCTCTGGATGCATGTTTTGAACCTTTCCTTAGTCATGTGAGTCAAAGAATGATATTCCTGAAGGGGGTTTGTTTATGCCCAGGTCGGGAGCCAACCAAATTTATTCACAATCCTATGCTACCCAGGTAAGAGCGAGGAGACTTTCTAGATCGGTACCAGGAAATGCATTTCTATCAGAAATCTGTTCCTATCAAAATCATACTGACAATATTTTGTTGACAGGTGGACTGAGAAGGAAGATGCATTTATTAGACTTCTAGAATTTTAAAAATGATACCCAGTTTCCAAAGACAATGGAAATTAATTTGGCGAGAATAGAAGTCTGGATGCATTACACATCAGCATACATTTCAAAACGTCTGTTCTCACCACACTTTGGGTAACTGAAGGCCTTTGTCCAGGCAAAAGTTCCAAGAGATGGAAACAAAGACTAAATCTTTTCCGATGCCTTACAAATGAATTATGGTAGGTTGAACTAGGGCTGACCATGAGAGTTAATGGACAGATTATTTTACAGGAAGTAACTGGGCACTTTGGTGTTTCTTTTTTTCTTTACAATCACCTTTTCTTGAGGGACCAAGGACTTATGCCCTGAAATACAGAGTACTAAGCTTATTAACTCTGTGATCAAGAGCCAAATTAGATTCATTCACAGCTGGGGCCACAACAATCTGAAACTCTGCTTGCTCTTTAATGCTTTGAAGTAACAGAGAAGAAAATAGCACATCTCTCAGGAACCTCTTTCTGTCCTTTAAAAGAAAAGAAAATCTCTTTATCAGATGCAGTATCAATTAGCAAGTTAGTGGAGATAGTTGTTTATCTGTAGATCTTATTTTGGGCTAAATATTTCCAGAGGGAAAAATTCATCCATTTTCTTGGGATTGTACCATAATTAGCCACTTGAGTATGTTTACAGAGATTTGTCACAAATCAGCAGTTATTCACTGAATGGTATTACCTTCCAAGATGTCAATAAAAGTTTCCATGAGCAAATATTATGCTGCAGTTATGGAGAATGGACACAGACAGAAGTTGTAGATTTTAAAATAAAACTAGCCCAAAAAGAGCTCATTTGGTTAATTGCCAATGATAGATGCTGATGAAGTCATTCAGGGCAAAGCTTCATTTTGCTGCTGATGTACTTTAGCTTGTACTTCTGTTTAAATTTCTATATCCTCTGGGTCAATTTCAGAGTTGAAGCTGACTTATGTAAGAAATGACAGGATTTAATTTGTTACTACTCTTGTATCTTTTTGAAAAGTCTTTTAAGGAATCCAAATTTGGGAACACTACCACTTATTAGTGTTTTGTTCTCAATAACTTTGTTCTCGGAGCAGTTGGATCATCAATCTTCATTCAAACTTCTTAATTTATCTCTTTGATGGGAAAGTTTCCAGGAATAACTAATCCAACATTTCAGCCAAAAATTTTTTGGCTGCAGTGACATACAGATAAAACTGGATGCTCTAGCAAATTAATCATGAAATTGATGTGGTACGGCTAGCTTGCAGTCACAAACCTCGGAGAATATGATGATCATTTTTTTGAGAAATACTGGTTTTTGTCAAACCCTTTCAATGATTTTTTTTGGTGTGAAAATCCTACTTTGATCATTCTGCTTCAGATTTTATAAGCTGTATTTTAGTTTTTACTCTTTTGCTTTTTTAACTTTAATTTTTTTTATTGGTTGTTCAAAACATTACAAAACTCTTGACATATCATATTTCATACATTAGATTCAAGTGGGTTATGAACTCCCATTTTTACCCCAAATACAGATTGCAGAATCATATCGGTTACACATCCACATTTTTACATAATGCCATATTAGTAACTGAGCTGTATTTTAAAGTTTTATTTTTCAAAGTTATATGTAGATTCATTCTTTAAGTTAATAGTGAAACTATTTTTTAGAGTGTCCAATCAAGAGGATTTCCCAAAATATTATATATGGTTTTTCTCATAATGACTTTTTATTAAAAAAAAAGATAATAAAAATTCTTGTAAGATTATTGAATGGCTTGGGAATTTGAAATGTAATTTGTTTGAAATTCTTTAGGCCTGTGCTTACCAAAACAGAATCTGAATTCAAATATAACTCATTTTGCTAGGTGGTAGAACATGGATATATAAAAAACATGTGTGTGTAGTTTCACAAAATACTTTCTTGTGCTTTGTCATAATTATGGGCTGCAAGAGCATTTTCCTCCTGGTGAAACTGCCTCACGGGAGTGAGGTGGGAGACGGCTGCCTCCAACCTGCTTTCCCTCACCTTGTGAGATGATCCATACCCCTGCTGTCATTCTGGTTTTGAATTGAGTCACTAACTACTTGGAGGAACATAAAACTCGAATGTGCCATGGAAAGGTCCAGTTACTTGTCTTTTTAGACTAAGTTTATGACTTTTGACCATGTTAGGGTATTGGATATTGTCACAGTCAGCTCTGTGAAATATTGCAGGCGAGTACATGGATGGGCAAGGTGAAAATCAAAGTTATATCTGGCCCATAATTCTGGCCTTAAGCTGCTGCCTCCTCCTTCATTTATTTTTGATAACATACTTAATTGGTTCCATGTGGGCAAAGCAATTTACCCTGAGATGATTATTTCCGCCAGTGGGATACGCAGGCTCAGCCATCTGTGAGGGAGAACAGTTGGCTCCTGCAGATGAAGTGTTTGAGTGTCTGCAGCTTTCAAATAGGCCAGGTAATTTTACACATTAAAAAGAAATGCACAAGTTTTGTTTATGAAAGGCAGGACTCTAAATAGCAAAGCAAGCAAATGATTACAATTAAGAAGTAATTGAAAGCACATTGAGGAAAAGGACAGACATTCCTTGTTGATCCTCATTCTTTTGCTAACGAAAGCACTGGTGTGCTGGACATTCTCCAGAGCATGACTTTCCATGTGAGACCTCCCACCTGAGCTAAAAGGTGGGGCAAAGAACATAGGTACCTGGAGGATAACCTCTTCAGAACACAGGAAGAGGTCAGAATCGATGGGAGGAGCTTGTTGGAATTGAATATCTCGTATCTCTTTTCGAATATAGCACATGCTACCATCCCCAAACCTGGTACTAACTTACCTGTACTTCATTTTCAAAATTTTATCAATTTTAAAATGTCACATGAATGAAACCATATGTAACCTTTTGGAGTTGTTTTTTTCCCCCCCCATTAAGAAAGATTCTCTGGAAATTTATCCAAATTGTTAGCTATATTAATAGTTAATTTCTTTTATGCTGTCTAGTATTCCATAGTATGAATGTACCACATTTTTGTTTAACTGTTCACCCATTGAAGAACATGGGGGTTGTTTCCAGTTTGGGGTTATTGCAGATTGAATATCTTGAGACCAGAAAGCGTTCAGATTTGGGATTTTTAAAAATATTTTCATATATAATGGGTTACCTTAGGGATGGGACCCATGTCTAATCATAAAATTCATGTTTTATACATACCTTATATATTATACATTATATATATATTTATACACACACACACACACACATACACACACATACCTTATGTATATGACCTACAGATTATTTTATACAATAATTTTGGTGCTCCTACAATTTGATTATGACCTGTCACATACGGCCAGGTGTGGAATTTGGGGAGTATCATGAGAGTGCTCAAAAAATTTCATATTTTGGAGCATGTTAGATTTCAGATTCTTAGATTAAGAATGTGCAACCTAAACAAATGCTGTCGACATTTATTTACAGATTTTTGTGTGTGTGGACATAAATGTATTTCTCAGGAATATATTTTTAACAGTGAAATTGTTGGGTCATATGTTAGTTAAATGTTTGGTTTTTTAAGACACTGCCAATATGTCTAGAGAAACCTTTTTTTAAAAAAAAAAATGAATATGTCTAACTTCACAGGATTCTGTGCTCAGTCTAAAAATCAATCTTTTCTTTTGATTTTTTGTAGCCACACCATATCCTGGTGGATTTAAATGTTTCACCTGCGAAAAGGCAGCAGACAATTATGAATGCAACCGATGGGCTCCAGACATCTACTGTCCTCGAGGTAAAATGTCAATAGACAGATTGGGGTCCCCGAAGCTGTTCATGAGTGAGTAGCCCTATAGACCTGGTGCATGCCTGCAATCTCAATGGCTCCTCTAGTCTTAGGTTTAGTATATCTTTTAAGCTGCACCAATAACTTTTCCTCAAAGACTCTCAGAAATATAAAGCGATCCATAATATTTCCCCCTTTTTCATGAAGCATCTGTGGAGCTCCAGAGGACTTAAAAGAGACTTCCCCAGACAGGTCAGCTAAATGCAGAATAGGAAGATAACCGCCAGTTTGTCTGACCCTCTTTGAAGCATTAGTCATTGCATAGTAATTTCTTTCATGTAAAGTAGGCATTGATGCTCATATAAAGATTCCATTTATTACATATCTTACCAGAGACTTCTTTACTGAGACTGCATGAAAGCTAGAATTCTAAATGTCATCATTGCCCCAAATAAAAAATCCTGAGCTCTTTTAAATATTAAACTTAATGTTTAAATGGTGTCCATTTGAAGATTGAAATTTTAACCCAAATCCCCATTTCATAATGAAGGCAAGTCATAGTCAGATCTCTTTTATCCTGTCAAGTAAACAAGATTTTTCTTTGTGGCTCTGGAATCATTGTTGGTTGACTGCTATATTTTGCAGGAGAGTGGATTTGTTTAGAGTGAGGAGGATGATGAGGGAGAGGTATTTTATTGGCAAATGTTTGAGTGAGTAGTTAGCACACTTCACTGCTAATCCAATTCAGTTATTAAAGTGACTGGACACACCAAATGCATTATTTTTCAACATAATGCAGGAGCTCTCATGCTGAATCCAGTGAATGGCCCTCTGCTTCTCAAGGTAAAGTGGAAAGTGTGAGAGCCCAGAAAATGCCATTAAAAGACAGATGTCAGCTACTGAGCCAGTGCTGTTGAACCCAGGAGCCTCTACGTAGGCTGTACAGTAGAAATACCTGTATGACCTTACAGATATCCCTAAAGCCTGTGTCCTGCCTAGACCAATGGCTCCAAACTTCAGTGCAGTCACTCATGGAGAGCATATTAAAACACAGACTTCTGCTACCGCCCACTTGCCCTCTCCACCTGAATATTTGCTTCATTAGGTCTGAGATGGCTTCAAATTTTGCATGTCTAAAGAACCCCCCAGTGATGCAGATGCTTCTGGTCTGAAGACCACTTCTTAAGAACCACAACTTTATACAAATTAAATGAGCATATCCAAGATTAGCGTCCTGCACTAGTACTTTTAAATATCCCAGGTGATTTTAATGAGCAGTCAAGGGCAAGAACCACTGGGGCCTCATCTACCTGCTGATCAGGAAATGTGTTGTAATTTCTAGATTCTTCTGTTTATTGTTAGGTAGAGATGTCAGTGGGGTCCCAAAAGATTACAGGGAAGAGAAAAAAAATGGAGACACTAAAGACTGCCTTAATCACAAATTAGATGTCCAGTCACCTGGGTAACCAATGGTAAGTCCTTTCCCTAGTGTCTTCTGCTGCCACTGCTCATTTCTCGATCAGTCAGTATTTTCTGACTTTAACCTTGCAGGATAAACAACTGGGCAAGGTACTAATGGACCTGATTGAACCACTGCTTCTCAAACGTGGCTGTACATTGAAACCACCTAGTAAAGCTTTGAAAACACTGATGTCTGGGTCCATTCCCAGAATTCCTAATTAACTGGCACATGGGTATGGCTGGGAATAAGGATTTTCAGAAGTTCCCTGGGTCACTAATATGCAGCAAAATTTGACAATTGTAAACAGTGACTCTGGACAAAAACAGGATGATTTGCTGTGTATCCAGTAACTTCTGGGTTGGTTCCTGCTGGGAGAAAGCTAGCCAATTGTCTTCTGAAACTGTGGCTACTGGTCAGAGATAGTACACAGGAAGTGTATCTTATTCTGTGCTACTCTAACATAATATCTCAGACACAGTAATTTATAAACAACAGACATTTATTTCTCATAGTTTTGGGTGCTGGGAGTCTTAAGATGGAGGTGTCATGTTAGCAGGTCCAGTGTCTAGTGAGGGCCTCATTCCCATGCCTGCAAGATAGCATCTTGTTGTATCCCTTGGAGGGGAAGAGTGTTGTGTCCTCATATATAAAAAGGCAGAAGGGATGGAAGGGAACACACCTAATCCCTGGAGCCTTTTGTAAGGATCCCAATCTCCCCATGAGGTATCTATTCTCATGACTTAATCACTTCTTAAAGACTTCACCTTTCAATATCATCACATTGACAATTAAGTTTCAACATGAATTGTGGGGGACACATATAGGCCACGGCAAAGTGAGGCTGTGCTTGTCTTAGGATTGACTCAGCTCTGAGGTATCTTAGCAGATGTTGTGCAGAGGAAAAGGAAGGTATGTGAGCTGGTCTTCTCTGCAGACTTGATTATATACAAGTACATCCCTGTCTCAGAGAAAAACAAACAAACAAAAAGAGCAGGTGACCAGAATCACTGTGGGAATGCTTCTCAGGGAAAGAGAACGCTCCATCTGGATGTTTTCTTCTAAGATTAGAATCTATCCTTTCAAAGTACAGATACCTAAAAGTACCACAGAGTGATCTTTAAACAATTTATCCTTTTCTCCCCTACACATTTTTATCTTTTTTTTTTTTTTTGTCTTTAAATTTATAGGGATAAATGGAAAGTCTTGCACTGAGGTTCATGGCAGAAAATGACCAGCCAAGCCCCTGGGGCGATTAAGCAGTGAGAGATTGGAATCTGGTTTCTTCTTTCTAGGAGCAGGTAGTTTAGCCTGGGAGATAAGATCTGAATATATCAAATGTCAAAAATAGCAGGGCAAAATTAAGTGCCAAATGAAACATGGCATTGAGTGCCGTGGGAGTTTAAGGGAAGAAGAGCATCTGGGGGCTGAGTTTGCCAGTGAAAGCATCATGTGCTGGGAACCCTGTAACAGGCCGTTCAACACCTGGGAAATGGGTTCAGAACGCTGGAGAAGGCAAGTCTTCCTGGAAGTCCTTCAGAACCATGGAGAGACAGGATTTTCCAAGTGTGCTCCGTGGATGAGGAGAGACCTCACCTGGGAGTAGCAACCAGTTAGTATGAAAGAATAATAGGAGCAAAATAGTGGAATCAGGTTGTTTGTGTGGAGCCTTGAGCATCAGGTGAAGGAGTGGGCACTCAAGCCCTAACCTGGGAAAAGGTGTAACCCTAACCCTAACCCTCATCTTGTTGCACACTCAGCCTCCTGCTTGATCAGCCTTCTTCCCACGGGTCTGCTGCTGTTTAATCCATGTTTCCTCCATATTTTTTAATCAAGTAAAAATAGCACGATTGCATTATTAGGTTAAAATGTCAAATGTCTATACTAACCAACCCTGTGTTTGTTTTCTGGCTTATCATGCCTGGAGCAGGTCTAAGAATACCAACAGGCTTAGTAAGTGGAGCTCAGAAGCTGCCATGGAAAGGCTTCCTGGCTTTCTGTGACATTTCTGGGATTTTGTTGCTTGTTTTGTGACATATTGAACTAGGTTTCAATTATTGGAGATGAAAAAAAAGTCGTTTCACATAAGCATTTAATTTTATCTATATGGAATTAGCACCGACACCTAATTGTTTGGGAAATGACTTTATTCTGAGAATTTTTGAAAGCTCAATTCAGTTAGTGGATGAACATGGAGACCCAGTGTGTCCTAATGGCTCATGCTTCTGGAGTTGATAGGTTTGTTGTGAATCATCATTGGGTCTAACATGTTTGGAAAAAGTCTGGCCCTGACTAGAATCACTCCTCCAGCTGTGGAGGAGTCAGCCAGCCACACTGCTAGCTGACAGAGGTTCCCTGTCACTCTTACTTTGGGAATGTGCATTGCTTAAGTACTTCCATTGCTTTTACCTCTGTGCTTCCAGATTCCTGGTACCATACTCACTCCCTAGCAACGAGAATTGAAGATGTCCTCCATAAATGGCTCCTATTGCCATATGTGTAATTTCAGGAACTGCACCTGACAAATCTGTTCAACTTTCTTGGTTTTGTGAACCAGAATGAGAAAAGATCTTAAAACCCTGTTATAAGGGACCAATCGAAGGAACTGATGTGGTATAAGAAAAGCTGAGTGTCACGTACTCGGATCCATGTCATTTCGCCCATGACTTTTCTCTGTGCTGCAAGATTAAAAGTTCCTTGAGAGAGGAACTGTATAAATGTTTAGTAAGTGTCTGTGGAATTAAATGTCAAGTCAAAAACATTACAGTTTTTAAAAAAGACCTGTTCTGCAGCGGACACCTAAGCCAAGGATAGTATGTTCCTTCTTAATTAGGAAGTACAGTTGCCTCCCTCTAAGGCACGATCTTCATGTGAATTTATTGCTGATAGGAAATCAGAAGAAAAATTTTGAGATAGTGGACACATATTCTTTTGACTCCAACCTCTGTGCTGCTCACTGGTTTTCTCTGAAAATGAATGAACTAAGATGTTCCTTGATACCTCTTTCTAGACCAGTTGTCTGATGGTTCCTGGTACAAGCAGGAAATAGAAATGGGATTCCCAGCTCATTGAAGGTTGCAAATGTCCAGGAAAGACTTCTTCATTGACAGACAGAGGCATGGCTGAAATAGATAACCTTTTATTTTAACACATAACTGAAGGGTGGGTTTTTTTCTTTCTTCTACTCAATTTTATACTTAGAATCTGGCCCTTCAGGATTTCTATCCTTTATACCTAGGTGTTTCTAAATCCCGTCAAGACCCAAGACAATTTCTTACTGATTATCTTTAATATGGCCTCTTCTCCAAGATAGTGAAATCAATACCTTATTCAGGGCAGGTCCATGGAATGTGTCTCTTTGGAGAGAGCATTTGTGCATCTATAAATATGTTGGTTATATCTTATCCACCACTTCTGACTGCTAAGTAATGAGATGTTTTCAAGATTCTCTTTTATTATTATTAATTGCTAAATAGAAGTCTTAGACTTCTTCCTTTTTAAGGAAAATTTTAATTAAATGTTAGAATACATACTGGAAAGGGAACGGATC